CACACACACACACACACACACACACATGAACACACACACACACACACAGACACGAACACACACACACACACACACCCCACCACGCCGAAGCTACGCGGGCGAAAGCGGGTTTTCCCAGTTTTTTTTTTTCTTTTCTTTTCTTTTTTGATTGATTGATTGATTGATTGGTTGGTAGGGGATGGGTCGCCCCCCCACCCCCCACCCAGACCCATCCCCTACCAATCAATCAATCAATCAATCAATCATAAAAGAAGAAAAAAAAGAAAAAAAGAAGTGGGAAAACCCGCTTTCGAACCCGGCTTTCGAAAGCGGGTTTTCCCACTTTTTTTTTTTTCTTTTTTTTTTTTTTGATTAATTGATTGATTGATTGATTGATTGGTAGGGGATGGGTCGCCACCCCACCCTTCACCCAATCTCACACACACATACACACACACGCACACACACACACGCACACACACACACACACACACCGTGACACACACACAAATACACACACACACACACATATGAACACACACACACACACACACACACAGACGGAGGGTAGTTTTTCAACTTTTGTTACGATCCTGGTCATTTCTCAAGTGCAAATTCACAATGAAAGACAATGCCACCCCAATTGCGAAAGAAATGAAAGCACTTGCAAAGAGATAAAGACCAGAGGAGAGGTAAAGAAGAAAGAGAAGAAGAAGAAGCACACTAGCAAAACCAATGACAATTCCCCCTTCTCTCTCCACCTTCCTCCTTCCTCCTTCTCTTCATCAATCTTATTCTTCTCTCGACAATAATAATAACAATGAATGGATGAACCGAAATCAATGTCCGAAGTTCCCCCTTACTGCTGACTCAACTCACAACCCAACAACAACAACAACAAGTCCACCATGGCTATGTCTTCCTTCCTTCAACCTCCTCTCTCAAGCATAGGTCATGGCGAACTACTGGAAGGCAGCTATGATGCTGCCCTGATGCCCGAAAGACAACCCAAAGCAGCTATGTCGCTGCTTGACTCGGTCAGCTATGCCTGACCCTGCCTCTAGCTGCCTTGGTGCAGCGTTTTCCCAACCGGGGCCTTCCAGATGCAGCGCCTAACAAGGTGATGAAGACAGTGTCCACCATAGCCACGTAAGTGCCCTACCACTCTCCTACCACGTCCCCCTTTTTCCTCCTTCAAGCTGGGGTGCTCGCCATAGCCAGGCTGAGCCCCAGCAGACCTTCACCTCCAAGCAGCGCTGCCTCAGACCAGCGCTGCGCTCCAGCAGCATGTCGCTAATCCTTGCATACCGCAAATGAGGAAGAGCTCACCGCTCTTCCTGAAGATATAGCGGCCTACCGGCCTCCTGGGCGGTGACTTCCTAGGCCAAGCGGCCTCCCAGCAACCAGTACCTCCTCCCTTTTGGAGGGAAACATCATTGCAGGCTCTGTTATTGTCCGCACAGGCCCTAGACCCGGGCTACTTGGACTGGTACCGGCCTACCTCGAACCTACCGCTACTGGGCCTCTAAAAATGYCAACTTTTTGTCTTCTTSTGCTCGGCCTACCTGCTACTTGAGTGTTTTTCCCCAGCTGCTCTAAGTGTCGTGGGCCTACTCCCCGCTACCGGCATGTTTACCCCCCTGCAACCCTTCAAAGTCACGGCCACAGGTAAGTACCGGCCCGGTGGGCCTTGCAACCAACAAGTACCCTGGCGGGTCACGCACATACCCAACCAGCAAACACTCTGACAGGCATGCAACCCAGCAGGCACGCACACACACACAATCGGCAAGCACTCAGACAGGCATGCAAACCAGCAGGCACGCACACACACACAACCGGCAAGCACTCAGACAGGCATGCAAACCAGCAGGCATACACACACACAGACTTTGGACCACAGCAGAATGCAGGAATCACAACAAGGCATTCATTCCATTGACAAATCCCATAAATCAGCAGTGTTCTCAGTCTGTGTTTTGGGCGGGTTATTATATTACTCCCCTCTCGAGAGCGAGGTCCCTTCGAGCGAGTAACTCAGTCTGAGTCGGCACAGAAGGCGTCATAGGCATAGATCAAAAATAGAGTGTTATTGAGTCCGAACGGAGTGAGTTTTGCAGCAAACTTAGCGGTCTGTCCGTCAACAATCTGTCGTTCATATGCGTTCACAACACGTGGAGCACTCTTTATCAGTTCTTTCCRGTCGATCCAGAAGAATTCGTTCAACGGGTGGTAGAGGAAATGAACTTTGTATTGTTTGTTCCTCCCTCTCGCCTCGTGAGAAACGATTCTGTCAATCTCATGGCCGCCGTCAATAGGGTGAGGTATCATAGGGTCACGAAAGGGAAAAGTCTCATCATCAATGTGTGGGAACAGTTTGGAGGCATGGAAGACTGGATATATGCGCAGGTGAGGAGGCACGTCAATCACGTACGAAGGACCGAAGTCATCCCCGACTACCTTCAGAATCTGCCAAGGGTCGTAGTACAGTGGAAGAAGCTTCCGTGATATGCCCTTTTCATTAGGAAACTCAGACATTTTGACCCAAACATAATCCCCTACTTTGAATTTTTCTTCTTTGCGCAGCTTATTGGCATGTTTGATCATGGCATGCTGACGCTTGTTCATAGCTGCTGTAGCAACTTTGAGCAAGCGTGCGTACTTGGCATTGTAGCCAAGCATGCCGGACATCAGACCAGGTGACCATTCGGGGAACAGATAGGAGAGGGGATTACGCATAGGTCATCCGTACTGCAATTGGTTTGGTGTCACACCAGTCGCAGAATGGATTGAGTTGTTGTACACCCATTTCACTTTGTGCAATTCCTTATCCCACAAGTTCTGATCTGGAACAATTACTGCGCGAAGCAATTCGATGAAAGTCTGGTTGATCTCCTCAGCCAATCCGTTGGCTTCGGGGTGTCGACCAGAAGTCCTGTTCAGTTTGATGTCGTAGATCTGAGACGTGAAGAATCTCGTGTCCCGATCACTCACAATAGTTTTCGGGACGCCGGACTGTAGAATGTACTGCTGATGGAATTCTTCTATGACAAGTTCAGTCGGGGCGTGAGGAGGGAAAGGAATCACGTTCAGAAATTTGGAGAAGCAGTCCACAATGACCATGACTTGTGAATTCCCAACCTCACTCACCTTTCCCATGTCCGTGAAGTCGATGGAAATCGACTCGCCGGGTCCATCGGGAATGGGAAGAGGTCTCAGTAGGCCATAAGGCTTATGCCTGTGAACCTTGATCCTTTGGCATACTTGACATTCAACAATAAATTTCTGAGCAGATCCTTTTATTCCTGGCCAGTCAAATTGTTGCAGAAGACTTCCATAAGTCTTCTCAGAGCCAATATTTTCACTCCGACCGTGCGCCAGATCCAAGAAATGAGTTCGGAGAGGCGCATGGTTGGGTACACACAGACGGTCAAACTTTCCGTACCGGCGAAATACAAGACCCTCGCATTTATGAAAATCAGGCTGACTGTTGGGGTCAGCCTTGAGCTGCTCAAGGATAGGACTAAGGTCCAGATCCTTGGCAGTGTGCTCGACCAGATCCTCCTTCAGTTTCCTCCGGAGGTTGTAAGAGTCCACAATGCAAGTCAAATACTCGGGATGACGCGACAGAGCATCAGCAACACGATTATAGCAGCCTTTCTTATGTTTTAGTTCAAAGTTGAAAACATCAATGTCATGCAGCCAGCGGGTCAGAGTTGGAGAGAGATCAGTTTGTGTCTTAATCCATTGCAAGGTCTGATGATCTGAATAGACCTTGAAGTGGCGACCCAAGAGGTAGTGCTTCCAATGCGTGAGCGCCTCGCGCAAGGCGTAGAGCTCCCGCATGTATGTGGAAGTGGCTACCTTGTGGCTGGACATGCGTTTGCTGTAATATTCAAGCGGACGCAGGTCATCGCCATCATCTTGTTGCAGCACTGCACCAATCCCAAACTGGCTCGCGTCCGTAGTGATTACGAACGTGAGGTTGGGATCCGCAATGGGGAGCACAGGATGACTCATCAAAGTCTCTTTCAAGGCTTGGAACGCAGTCTCACACTTTCCACACCACGCATAGGCAACATTCTTACTAGTCAGGCGTGAGAGTGGGTGAGCAATGACAGAGAACTTAGGCACAAACTTCCAGTAGTAAGAAGCCAAACCAAGAAAAGAACGCAGCTCGCGTACATTCGCCGGTTGAGGCCAGTTGCGGATGACCTCAACCTTGGTTGCCTCCGGCTCAAGACCGCTTGCAGACAACCGGTGCCCAAGGTAGATAACGCTGTCCCTGCCAAACTCAGATTTCTCCAAGTTGAGGTGCAGTTAAGCATCTTTGAGGACTTGCAAGACCTCCTCGATATGCTTGACGTGCTCCTCCATGGACTTGCTGAAAATCATAATGTCATCAAGATACACAACCATAAACCTGTTAAGATGGTGGCGGAGTACCTTGTCCATGAGGGACTGAAATCTGGCTGGCGCGTTCGTAAGGCCGAAGGGCATAATGATGAATTCGTACAGCCCATCACGTGTCTTGAACGCAGTTTTGTGCTAGTCGCTCGGATCAACTTCAATCTGGTGGTAGTCAGACTTGAGGTTGATCTTGGAGAAGACTTTGCATCCACCGGCCGCATCCAACAGATCATCTATACGAGGCAAAGGGTAGACATTTTTCCTTGTGATTCGGTTCAAACCACGATAATCAATGCACATCCGAAGTTTGCCTCCTTTCTTCGGCACAAACAAAACAGGTGCGCCGAACTCAGACTCGCTAGGCCTAATCCATCCACGATCAATCATGTCATCAATTTGTCTCCGCAGTTCCTCCAACTCGCCTTGTCCCATACGGTAGATGCAGCCCTTTGGAGGAATATTTCCCTCTATTATCTCGATTTTGTGCTTGACTGGACGCTCGGGAACTCCGCAGGGTTCAGCCAATACCTCAGGAAATCGATCTAACAGATGACGAATGTTCGCTGGGATTTCTGGTGGAGGATCATCCTCAACAGGGGAGAGAAAATCAGATTGGGAATAAACAGCAATTACAACTGGTTTCGAAATATTTGGTTCCGTACTAGATCGATCATTTACAGCAGAAGTAGGTGGAACAGAAGTAAAAGTAGTAGAGGTAGAGTTACCTTCAGAGGTAGAAAATGCAGCAAAAGTAGAAGGCACATGGAAAGGCTTTACAAGAGCTATATGTACAAACCCAGCTTCCTTGCGCCTGAGCACTGACCTGCAGAATTTGTTCGCACTTAGAAGAGTCACAGGGGACTCGCGCGTCTCGTCTAGTAAGACGGTACGCTCATTCCTCTTTGCATCAAGTACCACGAACTAATTGTCCACCCATGTGGTCCTTAGGCGATGAGCCTTTAGCCAGCCCAACCCAATGACCGCGTCGAAAGAACACTTGTCCAAGACATAGAAATTCAGCTCGTGTGTGACAGTGCGGTCTTTGTCAAAGGTGATGCGCACACCTTTGACAGCATGAGTGGAAGTGACAACCTCTTGGTTGCCCACCTGAGTCCGGCAAGGGTTCTGCAGTTCCACTTGCTTCAGATCCAGGCCCGCCTTACGAATCCCGTTCGGAGAGAAGAAGTTAGTGGTCGAACCACTGTCAATCAGCACGCGGATGTATCAGCGGTTAATGAGCAGTTTAAAGAAAGTTAGCTCCACGCGCCCTTGGACACGGCGTTGCTGCTTGAGTTGCAGCCAATGCTCCATGTGGGCGTGGAGGTAGACCTCTTTAGACTCCTCCCAAGGCTCAGTGTATAACACTTGGACTGTCTCAGCCTTGGAATCAGCGTTAGTTTGGGCTTCAAGAGCACGCTGCTGATCAGATCCAGGCTCCTCGGAGGGGCCTGCAACTGACTGCTCAGCTTCTCTTGTTGTAGAGAGTGTTGATGTCTCCTCTACGCCCCTTGCCTGTTTCCCTGAAGACGATAGCAATCCTGCATAGCATGCCCAGGCTTTGAACAATGCAAGCATACGCGCAGTTTGGATCTTCTTTCCCATTTTTTTTGGTTGATGCGGAGGGCTTCCCAAGACTTGGTAGAAGCGTCCTCCGGTTTCTCAGGGATCTTAGCATTTTTGGGAAGGTGTAAGACAGTTCCCTTACCCGAACCACGGTTAGGCCCCTTATTTGAAGCAGTCTTTCTAAATGCATTAAGTTTTTCATCATCATTTCGGTCACACTCAATGGCTGATGTGGAACAACCCGTATTGGAGTCCGGCTCTAGATCGTCATCTAGAGGCAGATCGTCCGCATAGGACTGATCGTCAGCCTCCCGATGATCATGCAGTGCAAGCTGGTTGCTGCCTCCAAACCGCTTGCGTTGTGTTTTCCCACCTGCAGCGGGCGCCTTCTTGCGCCTGACGAGGTCCTTGGCCTCTAGGTCGACTAGGTCCTTCATGAGCTCTCACCAGGTAGCATGGTCCTTGAGTGCTAGCAGGGAGAGGTATTCTTTAGGGGCCACTCCCATGACTACATCCATGCAAGACACGTCAGTCATTCCTAGATCCGGAGTGGTGAATAGACCAGTAAGGTGCTGTTCCAAAGCCTGCTTGGATGACCTCCATGTTTGGCCCTTGAGGGCCTCAAGCTTCAGTCTAGCCTTGAGCGCAGCATGTTTATCCGGATACCGGTCAAGAAGAAGATCCTCAAGGGTGCGAACAGGGGTGACCTTCAGCCAATCAGTCAGGTCTATGCGTGCATAGCCTGCAGCAACAGCTTGGAGCTCAATGTGGTTTCGTACGGCAGACTCGGTATTAGTTCCCATGATCATACTTCGGTCCTCTTGCGGTGTCCGCATGACCTCGAAGTATGACCGCATGGAACTAATCCAAGAGGTGATGTCAGCCTTCCCGTTGTACTTGGACGGCAGCGTGGCTGCCCGCTTGTCCACCATGGGACCGCTGTACTGAACGCCAGTAAGGGCTGTGGCGTTTTGGGTTGAAGTCCCTGCATTTGGGACTGCGATCAGTGCAGAACTACCGGTGCTGCCGCTTGAGGAGCTTGCTCCGGTTCCTGCACTTACCGGAGTTCCGCTAGCCCTTGGAACAAGGGTTGTGTTGGGCTGAGAGACTGGGATTACAGCAGATCAAGGGTTAGGAGGGCGGGAGGCAGACAGCTGGGACTGTTTAAGGCTAATCACCTTAGCCTGCAGCTCTTCGTTCCGCTGCTCAAGTGCTGTCATACGAGACTCAAAGTCTTCCAAGGTCCGCAGTCGGACCAAGGCTGCTAAAGTAGCAGCTAGTTCCTCCCGGAACCAGCTTCCGGGATCCGGAGGACGGCGGCTCTAGCTGCTGCCGCTGCCTCCCTTTCTCTCTACACGGCATCATCATACAGTTTTTGAAAGAATGGTTTCTGGCTCTCGTCCGCTGTATCCAGCATGGCCTGCCATTGGGCAGATGTGATGTTCGCCATGCCGGAGGAAGGGGTGTCAGTAGAACTCTCAAGAGGGGTCCGCTCTCTCCTGACGTTTGGACAAACATTCCTCTTGCCCCTTCTCACACTCTCAAACAGCACACCTTCTCTCTCCCTTTCCTCTCTTTTCGCTGTCTGCACACGCGTCTCGATACCGGACATAGATAATTCAGATAGAAGAAACAAACAGGAAACCACTCAAAGAAGAAGGTAGAACTCTTGGCCGGAGCGGCGAATCATTTGGACTGAGAACGTGACACGCAGCAGAAAAATAAATAAAAATAAATAGAACAAAACAGCAGAGAGGTCTGATTTATAGAACGGGCCCGATCAGATCAGCTGGAGATCCCCTCTTGTCTAACCTGACAGAGGACATGTCAACACAATAAATCAGACGAAGAAGACTAATCTGCAGCAATGGAGATTTCGAGGGGTGCAGATGGTCGCCGAATCAGACGCGAGGCGGTATGTGCTAACCTGCGGTAAGGCCAGTCAAGATCCCCTTCAAAGAAATGCCCTTGTTGTCCGTGTGTCCCCCCAGATGCAGCACAGCAAAGAATGCACTGACGGCAACAGATTTGGGCCCAAAAGGTCATGTCCCGTTGGGCCTGGTCCCACTAGGTCCCGAGTGGTCCCAAGTAGGTTGTGGACCATGACCAACGTGATAGGTGTACCAAGTCGGTCCCAAACTGCCTCTACCGTGCTGAAAAGGAAAAGACAACTTTCAGCAAGAACTCACTTCTACAGCCGTTTGGAAAAGAAAAAACAATGCACCGTAGAAAGATATGTTATTTAGAGTAGATACATCATCCATCCATCCATCAGGTGAGAAAGCAATCCACAAGCTCACACACACAACCAAGACCGCAGAGAAGAGGAAGAAAACCCAGCACACCCCCAACAGACCATGAAGCACCAAGCAACCTCCCACGGGCTTTCCCCGGTCACACGGCACTTACCTGTGAGGCCCGGCCTCCAAAGATGGATAACGAGTCACTCCCCTCTCATATAAGTCCTCCTGACCCCTAGCTACCACTACACGAAGTGTCCTAGCATGACTAAGATGGCCTTCCTACACCCCTGATGCAAAGTCGGATCCCCCGTCGATGCCTGAAGACCAAAGTAGCAACTTGCAGCAATCCGATGCAGATATGGCAGCCTCCGATCAAGTCTCCCTCCTGAGGGGAAGCCCAAAAGTCACTCAATGTCTTCCTGAAGTCCAGATTCCAGGTGCGAGTACCTCTCACTCTCTACTCCCTCTTGCTTACTCCAAACAGCCTCCCTTGTGTCTCGCCACCCCATATATCCACTCAAGCAACCTTGTTGGGTCCAATGTCGACCCTACATGACCTAACCAGGTGGGGGCAGCATCCATACCTCGCTGCCCCACTTAACCCTAACTTCCCAACCCTAATCCGAGATTAGGTCAGCCTTAACCTAATTCGAAATTAGGGTTAGGGTGACTAACACCTCTCGCCAGCAAGTAAGTCCGCTCCGATATCAATTGTTACGATCCTGGTCATTTCCCAAGTACAAATTCACAATGAAGGACAATGTCACCCAATTGCGAAAGAAATGAAAGCACTTGC